TTTAGTTGAAGCCATGAAATTTTGCTCAAAATGTTTAGATTTCGGCATTAACTAACCCATAGATGTTGATATACCACTAAAGAAAACAAAATAACCAACATGGAAGAACTTTCATGACATTAATCCATATACCTTGCCATTTCTTAAAGGAATCGAACTGTATTCCAAAATATAACTTAAACAAAACTACAACATAAAACACATATCACCGCCTCTTATAATCATATATAAAAACATGTATATGCAGAAAAGCTGAGTATCATCTACCATGTATTCACTTGTGAAAGCAGAATAACATATCGTGTTTTTATTACTTCAAATCTCTCAAGAAAATTAAACTTCGGTAGTAAATGACCCATAAGGAGTTGATATGCCGCTAAACAAATTAATCAAACACTTATGCTCCATAGCTATGAATGCAACCAGTGTGGTGATGACACTAATGGACAGAGGGCTTACTAGACTTGAACTCAGTGTTCAAGACGAATCTCCCCCCACCACCACCACCACCACCAATACGCCCTGATCAAGTCTGTGCCTCGATCTAGGATAGGGAAGGCCACTGCCAGGTCTGCATGCTACACGTGAATAAATACCTTTCCAGATTTCAACCCAGATATTCGGAGGGAATTGCTCATCTGCACTGTGAACTTTTCGCAGCCATTGAGATTGACGATGATATAATCATAATATAATATGATAATATCATAAGGATATAATCATGGTAGAATATCGTAATATAATGGAGATATGATAATGTGTGTTGCATTACACATGTACCTACAGATGTATGTAAGTTTGTTTTATTTATTTATATATATATATATATATATATATATATAATAGAGAGAATAAGCTTAGGTATCTCTATACATATATTTAATACGTGGAATATTGATCTTTTGTCAAAATGAATTTAATGAAAATAAACGATGGCTAAAAAGCAAACGAGACTGAAGTTGCAGAAATTATATTTATAGCGGTAACTTTAAAAGAGTCTTTTCACTTGTATAGTTTGTCGGATGAGAGTTTGGTTAATTTATTGTTTGGGGGCTTGTAAATTGAAATTAAAAAGAAAATAATGTATATATTACAGAGGTGAATATTCATTGTTATATATATATATATATATATATATATATATATATATAAAATATATTATCTATGTTTTTCTTTTCTTTTTAACGCACTGTTTTTATAATTTTCTTTGTTCTCCTTCTTTCTAGTGTTTTCTTTTTCTTCTACTTTCCTTAATAGGTTTTCTCGATCGACTGCTAAAGCAAAGAACAGACAAACATTTCGAAATTATTTCCACCTTTATTTCAGCTTTAACCAGGAAAGATAAAAAAAAAATGAATAAATAAAAAAAAAATCTCCTGAAAAGTATCGAAATATTTGAAAAAAAAAATATATCTGACAGCTGTGAATTCTCTCATCTTTGATGTCAATGAAATCTTCAATTTTTACATCCTCTGGTTGTCTTGTCGTTGAAACCCCGGGATTGGTGGGAAGTTGTGGTTGTGAAGTTGGCTGGGGGGTGGGGTTAACGGTTGTGAAAGTTTTCGGTGGAGCCAGGTGAAGCAGGAGGAAGAAAGTAACAACTCGATACACATTTGGTTATAATTCTGCCCCCACCCTCAGCTCATTTTCTCTCTCAATCATAATTTTGTATTTCTTCTCATAAGATGACCCCCACCTCTCTCTCTCTCTCTCTCTCTCTCTATATATATATATATATATATATATATATATAATATGCACACACATTCATCAAAAGGTCGCTAAAAATTTCTCACACCAAATCTTTCATAAAACTGTGCAAAGCAAATAATCAAACTTCATATTTTGGGGTCAAAGGGCTTTTCAACTCCTCCTGCTCTCCATGCATACACACACAATATATATATATATATATATATATATATATATAATATGAAGAAATAGTTTTAAGGTGTACTATATTTATGGGATAACGTGCTCAATATCACAGATAGAGCGTATATAGATATAAAAGTGAACATCGAAGTCAACACTCAGAAGCGACAGGCTGTTTCCTGCTTGACTGAATCGTCAGTCGGCCTGACGATTGCGTCTAGCATGAAACAGCCTTTCGCTACTGAGTGTTGACTTCAATGTTCACTTATATATATATATATATATAAAAAGTAATACACGATATCCAACGTCGTTCCCACGACTCAGTCTCATGTAAACCTGAATGTATTCAGCACCTGAAAATTGCAGGTTTGCATGAAACTCCGTTGGTTATGATGTATATTCACTAATATATACTTAATAGCTCTTTTATGATATTGAGCACTGTATGTATAACACCTGAAAAAGAAATATATATATATATATATTTACCTGCAAGTATGCGTCTATATATATATATATATATATATATATATATATATATATATATTTTTCATCATACCCATATCTATCTTACTATATGATTAAAATGAAAGGTGGTCCACGGGTGCTCCTTATAATATGCAGGATTAAATAGCCCTGTTAATTAAATTTGGAGAATAAAAAGCCAACAAGATTATATCAATATTGTCAATGAATTGATATTTATTACATATTAACCTTTTGCCTGAAACGAGAGACGAAGAGATAAATTTTAAATTCGGAATTTTCGACCATGCCTCTGTTCTTTTTCAATGATGCAAGGAATAAAGAAGATGTTGTTGGTTGGAGGTCGTCCCCCTGGAAGTTATGCTCTGAGCAAACCCAAATTCTTTTTTAATCCTGCAATGTTTGGATTTATTTTGAAAATAAATTTCAACCCCGAGCTGCGTCTCTACTCTCGGCTGTTGAACAAAGACGCCAAAAGCATGTATTGTTGGCTTTTTATCCTTCCAAATTCATTAACCGGCTAATTTAATCTCTCTCTCTCATTTTACACATACACACACACACACACACATATATATATATATATATGTGTGTGTGTGTGTGTGTTGGGGTTTTTGAAAAGTAATTATGTATTTCCCTGCTACGAATTAGGAGTCAACCAACCAAAGCAGAATAGTACGAAACTGTGTTTAGAATTAGCTTATCATTTCCTTTATCTGGTAATGTGTCATTCAAAGTGCATTTGAGTTTACTTATGAAAATTTTCAAAGACTGGTTTTGAATACTTACTGAGCTTTCGTGTGAGAACTGAAAATTATTAAAAAATAAAAAATGAATCATTTATTTCAAATACAAATATCCGCCATAATAATGTTGAAGAAATTAAAAGGGGCTATCGGGAGTAGAAGAGAATTAAAAGATTTTAGAAGGGACTGGAAAACCAATCCTAAACGGGAAACATGAGATAAACCTATATTATTGTTAAAATAAACTGGGAAGGAGTGTGAACCTATTTACTCCTGTTGAGGAAAATCTAAAAGCAAAAAAATTTCAGATTTCAGGCAGAGACGTTAGAAGTATAGAGTTGAAGGAGACTTTAGAAAGAATTAGAAACCCGATCCTAAACAGGAAAGAAGGGATAAACCTCTACTCCTGTTCAAAAGATCAGGGAGAAGTGTATATTATATGATAATTCTATTAGATATTAACATAAGTGTTGTTAATGATAGTAACAGATCTGCTATCATATTGTGCGAATTAAAAAAACAGTGTGTATCAAGCAGAGCTTCAGTAATAAAACTACTAAATAAAACTGGTAGTCGCTCTTCCATTCTTCGGAGTTTTTTTGTGGGGGGGATTCTGTGCGTGTACGCTAATATATATGAAATGACAAATCAATTTAGTATAGATAGTGATACACAAGTGTGTGTGTGTATATATATATATATATATATATATATATATATAATTTCGATAAACGTGCAATCAATTTACAAATTCATGAATTATTCACACAAAAACAAATGCAAAGGTTAATGATTTAATTGGCGAGAAATCCATCGTCGCAAACAATTCAAATAATATACAAAAACCTCCGAACCTGTTATGAATGAAAAGATCCTTGTTTCTATAAATTTCTGCCGCATTAGTTCTTATTTTTACTACAAGCTTTCGTCTGTTCCTACAGACATCTTCAGGTATGGAATAGATGTTGTTCTTGTTTTTTCTCTCGGTAATAAGAGGACAACGAAAATATATGTATTGTTGTATCCTAAAATGCTATTGGAAATGAGTTATTGTTTTTGGAGCGTGCAGTGGAGTTTGATTTTAAATTTTTACAGTTGTGCGTTCTTGTACAAATATGGTGATAAGCGAATTTTTTACTGGTAAATTTTCTGTCAAAGTGGCATGAACTATATTGTTCAATAATTACAGTAATGTCGCACTTATTATCCAAAAGTCGCACTTGGATAATAAGTTGCACGTTTATCGAAATTAAAATAACTGATCCAAGTGCGATACATATATTTTCGTTGTCCTCTTATTACTGAGAGAAAAAACAAGAGCAACATCTATTCCATACCTGAAGATGTCTGTAGGAACAGACGAAAGCTTGTAGTAAAAATAAGAACTAATGCGGCAGAAATTTATAGAAACAAGGATCTTTTCATTCATAACAGGTTCGGAGGTTTTTGTATATTATTTGAATTGTTTGCGACGATGGATTTCTCGCCAATTACATCATTAACCTTTGCATTTGTTTTTGTGTGAATAATTCATGAAAATATATATATATATATATATACACCGTTTATGCGTTATTTTTATAGATATAATTCTTTAATTAAACAGTATTATTTACATTTACCGGCCTGAATGATCGAGAAATTTCGTAGAAAATATGTGCTGCTCTGATAGGGATCGAACTTGTAACCCTTAATTGGAAACCATCATTTGATCTGATGTCCTGTTAATTTCAGCTACGAAGAAGCGTCTGGTTAGCAAAGTCCGAATTTCATTTAATTCCGAGTTTTTGAAGAAACAATGTTGAAAGATCTCGAAAGAAAAAAAAAAAAAAAGTATTTTTCAAGACAGTTTCTCCAAGAGAAAAAGAGACTCAAAATATCCGTATTATAATGAAATCATTCAAATTTACATTTGTTGATCAGAGACGGGATCATATTGACCAATCAACAAGTTCCTCCCATATCTCTTCCTTCCTTTCCCGCCAAATTTTGTCAGGTTTGACAAAGACGAGCACTAATCCAGGTTTAATGGGGAATGGAAAATACAAAATTATTCCTTTCTTTGATTGTTTAGGATTTCTGCAACTTAAGGGAATTTATTTTTCTGTTCCATTTCAAAAACTCATTTCTTCGTTACAATGTGTATTTTGCATTTTTTTTCATTTTATTTAAATTTTTATCCATTTCGTTATTTGTTTTCTTTCGTTTGTTAATACTTAATTTTTTTTTATTTCCTTTTTTTTTTTTTGTAATTTTTATTTTATTACCTTGTAAATTTATTTTTCTTCATTTTTTTAACCTTCCTTTTCTTTATAGTCATCCTATTATATATTTTTTTTTTTTTGCTACTTAAATCTTCTTTATATTATTTACATTGTTCAGACTGTTATCCTCATCTTTATTGCCATATTCACGATGTTTCGGCCATTGTACGCCTGGACCTTCTTCAGGTGATTATACTTTCGAACTGAACTTTTTATTTCGTCCACTGAGGTAGATTGTTCTAGATGAGGACAACAGTCCGAGCAATGTAAATAATTACAATACTTCATCTCGGAAATATAGACAGATATAATTTTTCTTTTCTGTTTTTCTTTGCTTCTCTATTTAATGCCATTTCGTTTCAGCTCTTCTTTAATTCCAGTAATTTATTTTTGATTTGTTTTCCTTAGCCTGAACTTAAAATGCCTCCCAATTCAAAATTTTTAGACAACGGCTGTCCCAAGCTTCTTAGTTTGTTTGTTTCCTTCCTTAGACCGCCACCACCCAACCAACATTCCTTCCTATCTCTATGAATCTAGTATGATTTTATAATTCGCAGAATGTGCAACATCAACCACTTGTTAAACTCATTGCCTGATGTTATAAATTGAAGATACAAAACGTTTTTCATTGGGTTGTGACTAAGACGTCCTTCCAATACTAACTTTTCTACCATTGTGATTTCGTTACCATTTTTTTTTTATTAATGTTCACCAAATACAAGGCACAAGGGCCACTCAAGGTAGAGGGTTACCATGTGGAGTTGTATTAGCATAAGAAATGCCAAGATAACAGTAAAGTGTTACAAATTGCTCCTTGCAGTTATAATATTATGTCTTGCTTAGACTACACGTTGTAGCATCCCTAGAATTTTCCTCGGCTACTTCCCACGGACTTCTACGGCGTCTTGCCTAGTTCATTTGTATTACCTGGGGTGTCTTTTTTTTACTCCACAACGAAAAGATAGCTAATTCTACACTTGAAGAGGTCAAGATTTAATTAGCGAACAAAATTTCAAACCTCAGATGGTGATGTTAGACGTATAGAGTTGAAGTAGACTTTAGAAGGAACCAGAATCACAATCGTAAACAGGATAAAGCCTAACCCTGCATGTTTCCTCTCCAATCCAAGGCCTGAGGGCCACTCAAGGTAGAGAGTTACTGTGTGGAGTTGTATTAACGTAAAGGCAAGACAACAGGAAAGATAGACAGGTAATTCTACACTTTAAGAGGTCAAGATTTAATTAGCAAATGACATTTAGAGTTAAGACGGAAACGTTAGAATTTAGAACAGTGTTTTACAACCAATTTTGGGCCATGCCCTATTTGATATTTCTAAAATTTTGGTGCCTACCTGTAATATTTAATTCTTACATGTATGCCAATTACACATATACATATATACACACAAAATATTTTTATGCATGCATACTGTATATGCATCGTATGTATTAATACGCATTAACATTTACACTCTCACTCAGACTCACTGGAAAACAATTCATTAACTCATTTGCGAATTGCCCCCTTATTCACTTGGTATAGTACGCCGAAGGGTGCACATCCTACGCATTACCCACCAAAATATTACCATGCCCCACCGGTGCACCCCACGTTTAGAATCATTGCTTTAGAAGGAACCGAAAACCCAATACCAAACAGAAAACAGTAGATGAACATCTAGCCCTGTTCTAAAGACAAGGAAGGGGTGTGAACTGGACAATAGGTGAATCTATCTATTGCTATTGAGGTAAAAAATATAATAAATCGTCAATAAACAAATTCTTACAATCTAAAAAATGTTTCGGCTTTATATAATACACACAGGGTTGATAAACCGTGAAAAACATATCAATCAATTATTAATTTTATAGAAAAAATTCCTCCAAACCATTCTCTTGTTCTAACCCTCCATCTTATTTATTTTTAAGGAAAATTCCTTGAAGAAATATTAAATATCTTATTTTCATCAAGTCTATACTACCTGGGCCAGGGATTGAACTTACTAATTCCCAAAACAATGTTTTAATCCTCTAGCCAGGTCGACAAACACCAGAAGGTCAAAGGGCACAATGACTGTGATAATAAGAATAAAGATGAAGATATTAGTTCGAATGTGAATAAAACAAAAATACAAATATAAGAAAAATAATGTTCCTCAACTAGAAAATGGAGGCCAAATTGCCAAATAGGAGTTGTAAAGAAGCAAGTATTGATTAGAGAAACAACAGAAAGGAAAATGTAGAGTCATAATCACCTACGTCATAAGAAAATGGCACACCGAGATATCCAAGAAGGTGCTGAAAATTCTTAGCCTGCGCCACTTGTTAAAATGTCACCTAAAATTATAATTTCTTTGGGAAATAGTTCTTGGTTGGACCAAAATCTTTTCTGCCTTGTAAAGGAGTTACATTGCTAACTTGACCATTTTCAGGAATGGTTCCTGTTCCAAAACATAGGCACACTAAAAAGATCCAAAGTATTCACAAATTCTTCAAGAACAGAAGAATAAAGTATTGTAGAGGACCGTGTCGGCGATGTTGTTAAGTAGGTGAGTACATGTGAATTAAGATTTTCCTGCCAGCCGTTCCAACTACATGAGAAAGTTGGACTTTAATTAAGTCCAAAGAAAGTAAAGAAAAACAAACACAAGACCGATAAATATATGTATTAATAACAAGAAAGGTTACAAGTTACATGGACAGAGTGTGTGTGTGTGTGTGTGTGTGTGTGTGTGTGTGTGTTGTGGTGTGTGTTCGTACGTACGTGTATTGTTCTTAGCTTGTTCCCATCATTTGGGAAACGCTGTATCTGTGAGCGTTCACATCTGCGAGGTGGTAAGACTGAAAGCCTCAGGAAAAAGTGATATTTAGCTATCCCCCCACGAGGGTTACCTGTGGCACAAGGCCGGGTTTAATGTGGGATCTCCGAGCCCATAGGCTCGGCCAAAAATATACTCTCTTTGAACCCGCATAAACGGTTTCAGGGGCAGTCAACCACCCAGAACGAGACTCCGGGTTCCTCTCCGCCCAAAAGCAGAGAGTTAGAATGAGGAAAAAGTGGAAGAGGCGAAGGGTCAGCGACTATTTATAGCCAGAGAAGAGAGACCCCTGGTGAAAGGGTTAACGAACTAAATGAGTTAACTCCGACAGTATATTAATTTATTGGGTAAAATAATTTCTGAAGGAAATTGAAACTCGATATGTAAAGCCTTTTGAGGCACGGCGTGGGCTGTTGTAAGGCCGGGTAACAATGCTCGTCATAAAACAGCGAAAACAATTTTGTAACCTCAGGTTAAAGCATCAACGAGTTGATTGGTGCTGTTCCCTTCTGAGAATCATAAAATCATTTATATGGCTTGAAAGAAGAATGAGCAACGACGAAAACCACATTCAAATTTATTCACATGGCTTCATTCTCCATTATCTGATAATGACTATAACATTGCATATGACATTTTTCTCTTTCTCTTATTATTCTAACACCAGATCTCTCATTTTTCACTCTATCTTTCTCCTCCTTTCTATTTAATTCATGGAGTAAAACAACCTTTTAAAGAATAACGATTTTTTAATTTAACCCATACCCTGGGGGAGGAGATGGATTTAAACCTTTTCCAAGAACATATACGTATAAGTGAATGTAACAAACCCAACTGGAATTCAAACTCAGCTCTCCGATTTTTTCATTCCGAGCCACTATTATCTCTCCATTACCTAAAATTAATAATCAGGGGTCCCGATTATTACAAACTCATTCGTACGTCTCCATCATGAGGGGCACATTTGCTTTTACCTCAAAGCCTATGATGCGCCTTGCTTTAATTTTTAGACATCCCTTCAAAGAATGGTAATAAATGTTTGCTGGAAGCGAAAGAGAATTCCAGAAACGAGAAAAGAATTGGTTAGCATCAAAATTAGTTACATCTACCTAATTCAACTGTAAAGTGATTCCAAGTCATTATCAATTACATCGCTCTCACATCCAAGCTTACAGCACCTGTCACAAATAGTCACCCATAAAGACATTGACCAGGCTCGACGTTGCTTAACTTCGGTGATCATACGGGAACCGTTGTTAAATGTGACAGCTATTATTGAACAAAGAGTCCATTAAATTACAGTTATGTCATTAATGTTTAACTTTCATTGATATTTAATAAGCTTACCATAGTGAATCAGTGGGAAGAAATAAATACTGGAAGATTGTGTAGCGCGAATCCTTCTAGTGAGAAGATTTTTTTTTATTAATATTTTTTGCATCATTTTTCCTGTGTTATTTCAAAACGACTTTTATAGCATTCCCCATGCATTCCAAAAGCTAAGCAGAGTATTAAGAGATAGAGTACTGAACTGTTACGTGATACCCGTCCCACTTTATGGCAGCTAATGCTGGACAATCTCATCATAGATGAAAAAACGTCTTCAAGCAACAGAAATGTGGTTCTACAGAAAGATGCCGAGGATACCATGGACTGAACATGTGAGCAACAACGAGGTTCTAGAGAAAATGGAAACAAACTTATACTTAACACCAAGAAAAGACAACTGAAATTTCTGCGCCGCATAACGAGGAAGGAAGGCTTGGAAAATCTGTTACTCACAGGACTGATTGATGAACAGAGGAAAACAATGCATAACATACTTGACAAAATGGATGGCGGAACAGGGTTTAGAAATAATGAAAAGATACAATTTATTTAGAGCTGCAAGTAACAGGAAATTGTGGCAAGCCATGATCGGCTACATCTTGCGGGGACACGTCCCATAGAGAGAGAGAGAAAAATTTTGTTTTTATTTTCCTATTTATCCTTTAGTTGTTTTTTTATGCTTTATTCTCAGATTTTTATCTTCTGTTTTTAATTCTCTTTTGCATATGCCATTCTCGGTCATTTTACTTTAATTCCTAACATACACTGAGAGACAACGCCAACAGACATGTCAAACGCCTAAGTGAAGGTCACTGCCACATATCATGAATAATACCACTGTCCTTTCATTTCCGTTTGTCACTAATATTACTGAGACCTGCAGTTAGTTGTTTCATGCCATATTCAATTGGCGGCGATTTTCCTGATATCCTTGCAGGATTCCTTCAAGAGTCAGGAAGACGGATAGCATAAATTTTTCCAGAATTCCATTGCAGAAAATATTGGACAAGAAGTGACAAAAACAAAAAAGGGAAATTTAAAGAATAAATAAAACTAATGCAATTGTCTCATGTTCGTTTCCAGGAATTAGTAATTTATTTTTTTTAATCAGAAAACATTCATTTTTTTTTTTTTTATTTCCTTCCATTTTAATTTCAAGAATTGGTTACTTGGCCATTCATTGCAGGATGCAAAAATGCCAAAGTTTTGGAAGCCAAATCTTTCTAGAAAGTAATTATGATACAGATTGAAACTTAAAAATCAAGGATTCGTGAGTATGGTAGTTGCCATTTTTTTTTTTTTTTTTTTCAGTGATTGGAATCCCGTCATCATTTAGAGATAAATCTAAATTTTGGAGGGAAGTCAACGCTTGAATGGGAAAAAAACAAGTAAATAGAAAAAAAATCGCGTAAACGTTTAAATTTATTGTCTTAATGTTTGTGCAAACATTAAAAAACAAATTCTGATAGAAAAATTGTATACCCCCAGTCTCTCCCTTTCCTCTAAACACCCCCCTCTCTCTCTCTCTCTGCCACTCCTCTCTCTGTTACCTCTCTCTCTCTCTGTTACCTCTCTCTCTGTGACCACCCTCTCTCTCTCTCTCTCTCTGTGACCCACCCTCTCTCTCTCTCTCTCTCTGTGACCCACCCTCTCTCTCTCTCTCTCTGTGACCCACCCTCTCTCTCTCTCTCTCTCTCTCTCTGTGACCCACCTCTCTCTCTCTCTGACCCACCCCTCTCTCTCTCTCTGTGACCCACCCTCTCTCTCTCTGGCAGCCCACCCTCTCTCTCTGTGACCCACCCTCTCTCTCTCTGTGACCCACCCTCTCTCTCTGTGACCCACCCTCTCTCTCTGTGACCCACCCTCTCTCTCTGTGACCCACCCTCTCTCTCTGTGACCCCACCCTCTCTCTCTGTGACCCACCCTCTCTCTCTCTCCACTCTCTCTCTCTCCCACCCTCTCTCTCTCTCTCTCTGTGACCCCACCCTCTCTCTCTCTCTCTCTCTCTCTGTGACCCCTTTCCTTTTCTTTCTGTCACCCCTCCTCTTCTCTCTGTCACCCCTCACCAGCTCTCTCCCCAATTTTCTTCCTTTCTCTAAAGCACTGCATTCTCCTCTCTGTTTCCTTCACAATACCTCACTTAGCCCCCCCCCCTCTTTTCTCTCTTGTGAGAGATAGGAGCATTGGGCCGAAGACTAACCATGCAGTAATTTTTATAGCAAGTCAGATTTTTATGAGCTGGAGTTGCTAGCCCCACATCCAGCGCCGTTTTTGAATCCAAACTCATCCTTCTCAGATGATACGACCATGTATTGTACAATTGCAGAAGGCCGTAGAACATATCAACCAGATTATAATGATGACAAAAAATAATCTCACTATTCTAAATAGATAAGATTTTTCATGTCATAATATATAACAAAAATGTCCAGTCTTCTCTGTAATTTAACCTATAGCTGGGGAAAGGGAGAAATGGATTCATACTGTTTCCAAGAGTAAAAAAAGCTGGAATTTGAACTCAGTATGTCAATTCTGCTTTCTGATCATAAACTAAATGGTGAGCTGAGAAAAAGGAAAGGAATTTGAGTCAATGTGGAATTGTTTTTGGACCAATGAAAACCTTGCCTTCACAGAAATTAGCCGGTCAACCAGGGAGGAAATAAATTTGCAAGCCTATGTGAAATTACTTTTGATATAAAATGAGAAGAAAAATTAAATTAATCAGTAGAGACTATGAAGTCATGTGAAAGGTTTTGTTTCAGTTCCTTAGAACCAGCATTAAAGTGTAAAATTACTCGCCAATTATATTATCGACCATGAACCAGCACACGGAACTTCAATGAATTTTTTCTCTAAGAAAGCTAATTATTTCAAATTATCTCTTTGTCGTCTTTTGAAAGTATCCAAACCATATAATACTTCAGTGAGCAACAAATTCTCTTACCTTTGTTTTAAACATTTTTGAATATTAATTTATGTCACATCATTTAATCTGTTGGATGAACATTTCCTCTTCAAAACATTAAAACTATGGATTTTAAGAAATCTGATTTTGTTGAAACAAGCTACTGACACTACTCCAAGCATGTAAATTCATGAACAGATTTCTTTTCTTATTTTGTTAAAATTACCTGTTTATTTCCTCGTCATTGTCATCCTTTATTAATCTTCTTACTGTGAACAAATCAACTGTTCCTTTTAACCCCTGATCCCCACACCACTATATCTTAGAGAATATTTTTATTGACAAAGAAAAGATAGCTATTGTAGTTCATTTAAAGAAATTACAATATGTTTACTTCAAGTTATCTAAATGTCACTAAAGTATAACATGAGTGAAAAATATACAAGTGTGGGTGATTTAGAGGGTGGTTTTGTCTGAACAGGGAGGGCCATAATTTCATTAGCATAGCGGCTCCCAAACAGTCATATTCGGACCCTGCATATCCTCCATGAGTAAGTATCTTGACATAGTGGAGTAGTTCTCATGTACTTCTATAACCCAGATAACTACACTAGTGAGAGTTTATCTCCTGGCACATCCAATTTAGCCAGGCAGGTCAAAAGGTAGAAGCTAGTCAAAACCATAGTCACCTAGTGGAGTAAACTTCGGTTGCAAAAACCCTGGATTGGATAGAAACTCACCAGTTGCAATCATCACCACTCTGATAGTTTACCTTCATGTGATATGATGTAATCAGTGGGGGAGGAGAAGCAGCACAGTGAACTACAATGTAGGACTTAGTCAATCATGGATTTCCACAATTTCCTTTCTTTTTATAGCTCTTAATAAATTTTGTCTTTTAGTTATCTTCGCCATCCATTTACTGAAGCTCATTAAGTAGGTTATGCATTGTTTTTCTCTGTCCCTCTTGCCTTCATTTTGTCCTGAGAGTATCAGATTTTCCAAGCCCTCTTTCCTCATTATGTGCCCTAGAAACCCGAACTCTCTCTTCCTGGTCTAAAACTTCATTTGTCCTGAGTATAATGATAAACTACATCCTGCAGCAAGTCTTCTGATTGGGAAATTAGAGGCTCATGGAACCAAATCTTAATTGCTGTTGTTCCCAGGCCTATCTTTACCCAGGGTGGTAGCACTTGTTAGGGTCCCAGCTATAGGCAAATAGTGAACTTCCAAACAAAAATCAACAATACATTTTTATAGCAAAATGACAATCGATACAATGCTAAAATATAAAAATACATTTTTATAGTAAAATTACCAGCAATACATTTTATCTTCTACAAACTATATATCTAAAAAACGTAACTTTACCCTGAAAGTATAAAATTATGTACAAAATATTTAAATTTTGGCATTAAATAACCCATAAAGGTGTTGATATGCCGCTAAAAAAATCAACCAACCAACAGGAAATAACTTTCTTATTACATTACTCTATAAATTATCCTAAAAGTTCTTAAAGAAATCTAACTGTATTCCAAAATATAACTTCAACAACATAAAACACAGACATCAATGCCTCTAGTAATCTATCCGCACAAACATGGATATACACTAAAGCTGAGTATTATCTACCATGTATTCAGTTGTGAAAGCAGAATAATATATATCATATTTTCAATATTGCAAAACTCACAAGAAAATTAACCTTTAGCACTCTGAATTATTAATATTACTTCTTTTTTCACTGCATTCTTTTTCACTTGCAAGTAAGCTTATTATTAATTTCATTCAAAAGTGTTTTCTGTTGCCATAGCAGGGTATGACAACACAACTATAAAATTCAAACAAATTCAACTCTCCCCATAAGAAACAAATCAGAAATCTTTATAAATCTAACATCTTTTGGTATTTATTTCATTTCATCAAGAATTTTGGGAGGGGAATGATTGATAAAGTTAATAAATGAATTGCGAATCCTGTTAGATTTAAAAAAAAAGATTTCCTACTTATTCCTTATTCAATCATTCTGTCGAATTTAATCCATATTTTCAACTCCTACATAGAAAGTGTATTTAAGCAATAAGAATCCATCTACGTCTTTGGTAGGACGATAAACTACAGGGTGATCTGAAAGTCTTGTCACCCCTGCCCACATAATATAATTTTCTATTTCAAGGCTCTGTGGGGTATTATCAAGGAGAGAGTTTCACATGAATGATACCAGAATACCAACAGTTGAAGGTTGCCATTCGGAGAGCCTTTGCAACAGTCAATAAAGTACAGCTTCATAAAATATCACACAGGTCACGGTGCTGCATCATTTTGTGCCATGAAAATGGTGTTCATACAGACCTTCTTGATGTGTGATGGCATCAATGAAAGTGAATAAACTGAATCCAGTACATGTGCTTTGTATTGTTCTTCTATTGTTCTCATTATGTTTTGGTAAGGGGTAACAAGACTTTTGGACCACCCGAATCCAGTCTATTTGCTTTGTATTACAGTATTACTTGTTCTCATTACCTTTTGGTAGTGGGTGACAAGACTTTCGGACCAGGATCTGTCTATATTTCTGAGATGTGATATTGTAGCTATTTACATCGGCTGTTGTCCTCATCTTTATTGTCATATTCACACGGTTCAATGGATAAAAGCATTGGCTGAAGTGATTCAGTGACTTGTCCCAAAGAGTTGTGATTTCAATACAGAGGTAAACAAATAATTGGAGTTGAGTTACTATAGAGAAATAAAACAGATATCCAGAAAAGGCATGGCACATGGAACTAGAACAATCTACCCTAGTGGACAAAAGGAAATTCCAACCTATATCACCTGAAGAATGCTGGAGCATATAATGGCCGAAATGTCATGAATATGGCAATAAAGATGAGGACAACAGTCTGAGCAATAAAAAATAATGTAAAAGGAAAATTAGTCATGAAATTTGATTGATTCGTTTTCTTTGGTTTATTACATTTACAGCTTATTTAAAGCTACAAAGTTTTTGTTTTTTTTTAGATTGTAATCTTTTTGTTTTTTCTTAAGATAATAATGGTTTAGGGATGCAAGTGTTACTATTTAACTCATAGATGTGGGGAGGAGTTTAGGTAGATTCATACCTTTCCCAGGGCTATTTTCGCATAAGTGAATATACTGAACCTGGCAAGAATTGGAACTCAGTTCTCTGATTAACAATTCCAAGCCATTATCCATTACACCACCCACACATCCAAGCTTACAGGATCTGGTATTCCGAATCAGTTACCCATGTTAGGTAATGACCAGGCTCAATGTTGCTTGGATTCAGTGATCCAACAGGAACTGGTGTCGCAACATAATGTAGCCATAAGCCCAATAAAATTTGAAAAAAAAAGAATATAATAAAGAAGTTCCTTAAATAAGCATTTCCTTTTTTTTTTTAAACATTTTATATTTACAGGGTTTATGAAGAATCTGCTATTTTTAGAAAGTATGATAATGATTGGTTTAAACACTTTAAGGAACACAAAGGGGAAAGAATTATCCATCCCTTCTTAAAAATTAAGCAATTTCAAAATGTCAAATGACAGACTTGTGGAATCCATGTACATGGTGTCAGTCAGTCAGTTAAGTGCCATACATGATATACACTTGGACAAACATGTCTCTTTTGATTCAAGACTGATGTTTCTTTTTGCAGTAGACTGGTTGCCAACCAAGGCTATAGTACCCAGTCTGTTCTGCTATTCAACCTATATCTGAGAAGAGATGGAGCCATACCTTTCCCAAGAGTATTTGTGTGTAAGTGAATATAACTAATCTGACTGGTGTCTCCAGCTTTTTTTAAAAAAAATGATTTTTTTTTTAATATAAAAAATAATTCATAAATTACTCTTCTGTTAACTTGGGCCACACCTGGGTACCTTTCAGGATGCATTAGTGCATCCAGGTGCACTGGTTGAGAACTGCTGGAGTAGAGGATAGAAAAAGATTTGAGCAGAGACACCAAGTTGGTGAGGCCAATTATAATAAACTTAGAACATATTTGAGGATTTAATTTTTTTTATTCATAAAGTATATTGGAAAAACATTTTCTTTTAATCATCTCTTTTTTACACAGAGATAGCATGTTAAAAAGAAAACATCAAGCATTTTTAATTTTCATTAATTTCAGGATGTGGGTGGGGGTGTAATGGATAGTGTCTCAGAATGAGAGATCACTTGAATTCAAATTCCAGTCAGTTATATGCAAATGCCCCGGGGAAAGATATAAATCCATC